CCACCGCCCCCGCCCCCGCCCCCGCCCCCGCCCCCGCCACCGCTACCGCCACCGCCACCGCCACCGCCACCGCTACGACGACAACTACCACGAGTACTGCTACTGCCACCGCGACTCCTGCTGCTATGGGCTACTAGTGCTGCTAGTGTCGTGACTGGTGTGCAGCGGAGGGACAGCTCGTCGGTTATCAGATTCCATCAGTTGAAGAGCCGGCCCGACCTTGCCAGACCTTGGCGGAGTTGAGGGCCTTGCGCCGTCGCGAAGAGCTGGCCCTGCAGTGGCGGCTGCTGCTGGCCTTCTCGGACTTGCAGACCGACGGTGTTGGCGGGTTCCGTTCTTGACAGAAGCATCCCAAGTACGGATGCATTCACTCGGGTCGCAACTCTGTCGCGCGGCCGCTGATCCGAGCCGTGCAGATTGTGGACGCTGAAAGAGGTGAGGCCATACCAACCCGCACTTCTCGGATCAAGCATCTTCCGAAATCTCTCTGGCATTCTCGAATCGAAGTGAAACGTGGTGACGCTTGACATTTGGAGGAGAAGAGGATGGTTTGGGCGGAATAAAAAGATGTCCGATGGAAAGTTCAGTGCAGCTTTCACGGCGCGAGCTTTGCATTGCAGGTGCTGTCAAACAGCGTCCCCTAGCACATACCCTAAACCCTGAATCCGAAACCCTGAACCCTAAACCCTAAAACCCTAAACCGTAAACCTATGGGATCGGTCTTCCAGGATCTGCTTTGACATTGCTGAGGCCATGGGAGCGAAGGCGACACCACAGGTGCAACAGACTGAGACTGCCATGCCAACCTGAATAATTTGAAAAGGGGTTTGGGGGCATCCTATACTATCATTATAATAAGTAGAGTAGGGTTTGAGGGCATCCTATACTATCATTATACATTCTAATAAGGAGCCCCCAAAACCCTATTCTAGTTAATGTCTTTCAATGCAAGAGAGGGTTGCTTTGGTTTGGCAGGGATGGCAGATCCGCGTCGAGGGGATCAAGGACCCTCTGCCGCTGGGTTGAAACTGCGAAGGAAAGCATTGGCCACAGAATCGATAGCATGAAATAGCATGAAACAAGAAGACAGAAGGAACGAAGGAGCGGGATTTGCTAGTTTCGTTGCCGCAGAGAGATCGTTCTGCGGGAGCCGTGAAGTATCAGCGATTGATGAGCGGACTGCAAGTCTACCTGAGACACTCAGCCAGGATACCGTTTACAGCTTTTCGTGGCAGAAGGTCCACGCCCAGCCTTGTTTCTCAGAAGACTTCAGCACTTTCTGGACTGCGCAGGCAACGACGGCCGAGGCTCGGCCTGGAGAGAGCTTGTCTTAGATCTTCATCTCTAAGGCACTCTAAGGGCAACCGGGGGCTTCTCGCTTTTGCTCGCAGGTGCTCGTCACATTTGTTCCTTCCCGAGTGGTCTCCAAGCAGCTCCGGCGCGCATCGTCGCTGACTGACGAGCTTCCAAGACTTACGCCGCAGGGAGCATGATTGCTTTCGTGGCATTGCAGCTACATAAATCTCTCAGGTCGGAGAGATGAACGGTGGGGACTTTTTCCGAGATGTAGGCAAGGAGTTCTCGAAGCCTCCGAGGTTGTCGTGTTTTATATCGTTTGGCTCGTCTCGAGAGGTTTTCAGCCAGAGGGTGCCGGATGCTTTGTTTTTGCAACCGCTACAGCCTCCCCTACAGTGACTGGCGCGGTCTTTGAGGCGATGCATCTGCCCAGTTTACAAGTCGTTCGATTGCCTTCCTGGGGAGGCGCGTCTCTATCGAATCCCCTGTGAAGTGTGTGTGAACAGAGTCAGCCTCTGCGCCACCGCAACAAGGCATGACACATGCAACCTCTGCTGCCTCTGCGTGTCAAGCTCAAGCTCTGGATGCGAGCGCGCCAGTCATAGACCACTTCTTTTCTTTATCCGAGTCCTCGTTGATCTGCTGTAGGATTCAATCCTCACCGCCGGCGCCTCGGCAGGCCGGCAGCATCCCGTCATGGAGGGATGCGGGGCCCCACCGAGCGTTGCGAAGTAGCAGGCGTCGTCATCTGGCCGCACGACGCCCTTGGTGCAAGCACCGGTGGAATCAGCGCAGCCCTCAAAGGCTCGCCCTCTTTCAGAGTCGCGTGGCCCGTGTTTCAGCAGCATTTCAATGAGCAATTTCCATTCTGGGACAAGGCCCCTGCACGGGGACAGTCCGACTTCATGGACATGGTTCGGGAGTTCAATGAAGGCCTCACTGGCGAGCCAGTTTACTCATGTAGTGTTTGCATTGCAAGAAGCAGCGGATCGGCGAAGTTGTCCAATCAGCGCGCTGCGAATTGATTGGGGTCAGCCTTCGTCCAGCCAAGGTCATGCAGTCCCGAAGACGCGCCCAGTGCTGCGAACCTCAAGGGTTGGAGTGGAGTTTGTGGCAAAATTGACACTGCGCCATCACCTCACAAGTGCAAGCAGTCTGGGATGCATCAAATCGCCCAGGTCCGAAACGCCTGACCTTCTGCAACAGCACCTTCACAAGGAGCGACGTCGACCGACATGGGTGGAGATGCTGGCAGCTTGCAGATATCAGTCCTTTGTCAATGCCTTCTTCATTTCAAGTTGTGTCACAATGCGAGCCCCGCAGCTTTTCTCACACAGGAACCTGCCACGGATCCGCGCAGCGAGCTGCTAGCAGCCATAGCTGGTCCCTTAGACGTGTCTTGCAGTAGACGGTGAAGCCAGCGCAATGCTTACCCTTTCCACTTTCCGAGGCTTCCCGGCCCACATTGCCAAGCCGATCCCAGCCCAAGGCAAAGATGCGGGTACGGCGAGTCAAACCGAAGCCACGCAAGTCGAATCCTTGCGGCAGGCCGAGCAATTGCGGACCAACATCTTGGAAGACTTGTAAACGGTGTGAAGCTACGCTTGGAGGTCAGCAGTGACTCCGGGAAGATCGACTGGAAGCCGGAGGAGTTGGACAACGTGCTGAAGTTCCATCACCAAGCCCTCTGCCGGGAAGGCGACCAGCACCAACTGGACGAGCTCTTGTACGTAAAGGTGCGGGACAGAGCGATCGACTACGTAGCCATGAAGGAGCCGCCTTCCGATCCGCCAGACTGGCTTCCAGAGGTGCACCGACAGACGGATCGGAAAACCTTCTGGGGGCTCGTCGCTACAAAAGCACCGGTCGAGCCGGCTCCCAACCCCCTAACGCTGGAGAAGATCTTTGATGAACCGGACGCCTCCCAGAAGGAGGAGTTTGCGCAAGATGTGCTGTGCATGGCAATGGTCGGGAAGAACACTCTGCGGCTGGCGGCAGCAGTGGCAGAATCTGCGCGAGACCCAAGCCAGACGCGGGAGAGCTTGAACCGCAAAGTGGAGGAGTACTTAGACCGTCGCGATCCACAGCGCATGGCAGACCTGCTCATCAAGACCGGGCTGATCGATCTGGGCACCAGGAAGAAGATCGGAACCACCGGGGAGGTTTGTCAGATGTTCTATGCACTTACGGGAGCCCACAAACTGGAGAATGACGTCTTCTCGGTCCTGCGGCTGTGGGAGTGGTTCATCGCCCTATCCAACGAGGACCTGGGCAGCGCTGACAAGTATAAAGGACTGGAGGAGACCGCCCGTGATTACGTCGCTGCCTGCCCACGATATCCGGGCCGCACTCCAAGCTACATCGAGTTCGGAGAGATGGACCCGCCAACCATAGCCTTCCCGCCACAAGTCATTCGAGCTCTGCAGAATGACAATTTATGGAAATGCTTCTAGGGTCCGGGACTTGTTGAGGTTGTGGACTAGTCGATCAGCCGGTGATCTCCGGCGCTTGAGTGTCACACAGCGAGACCTAAGGCTTGGCCTCGAAAAGAATCCCTTGATCAAATGTGCGAGGCGGCTGGGAGAGCAGAACGAGGGATGTACATTTTCGTCGACTGCTGAGTTGGACAGTGTAGATCTCTTCACCTGGTTGTGGGCGGCTCCTGTCTGGAGCAAGAACTTCCAGGAGCTGTTGGTCCTTGGCGAGGGTAAAAAGGGCGCATCCATGTGCAACCTCTCTGGTGATTGATTGTAGCAAGAGCTACCCCGAGTAGTCTGCGACTCTCTCTATATGTGGGTACATCTGGGTGTGGAGCTTGCTAATGCCGTTGCTTCGTTCCGCTCTTCTGGCATACGCGTCGCAGACTTTGCCACGTGCGCATTAGTTTTCAGACATGTACCTCGTGACGAGGTACGAGTCACGACTATGTGTGCTAGCGCCGTCCTCGGCTAGCTCGCTACTCTAGCTAGATTACCTAGCTGCTAGCTGGAATGCCTCGCGTTTGACGCGCTGCATTTTCTCTCAAGCTTCGGTTGAAGCTTTTTTGGGAAGATGTCTAGCGCCGCGACCTGAATTGCTTGGGTCGCTTGCAGCTTGTTTCCTCGTTGACCCAAAGTCACTGTGCGCCAAGGACCTTCGCCACGCGAGGACCCTGACGGGCCAACAATTCCTGCTGCAACCTCGGAAGCCCATCCATGGAGCCTGAGATTCAACATGTTGATTGGCATTCAGGTCGGCATTAGAGGCCCTGCGAAGATCGCGTCTGCTCTCCACAGGCCTGATCTTCATGCGGGGGTTCTCCCAAAACCCGTAGCATCCCCCCATCGCTTACGAAGTATCCAGAAACTACAATTTGCCGGTGTGTGAGAGCATTGCGAAACCCGGAGCGAAAGATCATGAATATGTGCAGGAAAACCTCACCGGAAACCCCATTCTCATGTGTTATATGATGTTATATGTGTATGCCTTTCCCTTGTACGCGTTTACAAGAATTGTGTTCGTAGCAAGCACAGCAACAGCAACAGCGACAACAACTCAACAAGAAGAAGAATAAGAACAACAACAACAACAACCACAGCAACGGCAACGGCAACGGCAACAGCAACAGCAACAGCAACAGCAACAGCAACAGCGACAGCGACAGCGACAGCGACAGCGACAGCGACAGCGACAGCGACAGCAACAGCGACAACAACTCAACAAGAAGAAGAAGAACAACAACAACAACAACCACAGCAACAGCAACAGCAACAGCAAGAGCAACAGCAAGAGCAAGAGCAGGAGCAGGAGCAGGAGCAGGAGCAAGAGCAAGAGCAAGAGCAAGAAGAGCAAGACAACAGCAACAGCAACAGCAACAACAACAACAACGACAACGACAACGACAACGACAACGACGACAACGACAACGACAACGACAATGACAACGACAAGAACAAGAACAAGAACAACAACAACAACAAGAACAACAACAAGAACATCAACAACAACAACAACAACAGCAGCAGCAAGCAGCAACAGCAACAGCCACAACCACAACCACGACCACGACCACAACCACAACCACGACGACGACGACGACGACGACCACAACAGCAGCAGCAGCAGCAGCAGCAACGACAACAACCAGCAGCAGCAGCAACAACAACAACAACCAGCAGCAGCAGCAACAACAACAAGCAGCAGCAGCAGCAGCAGCAGCATCAGCACCGGCAGCAGCACCGGCAACTGCAACGGCAACCGCAAAGGCAACGCCAACGACAACGGCACCGGCACCGGCACCAGCAACGGCGGCAACAACACTAACTAACAGCAACTACTGCCGCTTCTGCTGGCGTTGACCCTGCTCCTGCGAGTGCTAGTATTAGTACTACTACCAGCTACTGTTATTCCGACTGATGGAGGACTGCTAGCTGCTCCAGTTGCTGTTGTTACATCTTCGGAACATCACGGAAATGCTGCCGATGATAGATTGACCGAAGGCAGGATGAGCATCCGTAGTATGGAGCTTGTTGCATCGCAACTTTTAGCACGAGTAGGAAGCAGTATGCACACGCCACCTGTCTTGACTTTGTAGACTCAGAGAAAGCAAGAACAAATCTAACCTTTCTGGAGATCCACGAAGCACAGAACCACACTTAGGATTACTGGAGAGACACGCGAAAGGCACGCGAAGGAGCGCCGTGTGTTTGGAAGCCGATGGCCCTCTTGCCTTCTGACCGCCATGTCCTGGACCAGGCTTTCCCAAGACTGGCTACGAGACTTAGGCATCCCAAATACCATCAGCTCCAGAGACTGGTTCGCAGTTTGACAGAGAGAGACACTAAGCGAAGCAAGCATGCCCACCCATCGTCGTGTGCGTTTAGCCAGGTAGAGGGCTAGTGTAACAGCTTTGAGCAATCGACAGCAAGGGGCGCGGCATCCTGCCCGGGAACGCGGCTAGTGCAATTCAGAGGGCGAACCAAGGAGATGCATCCCTGAGTTACTGATCCTAACACGGGTTGTTCCGACTGATGCATCTTCGGGGATCGTACGGACCGTGCAAACTTCCAACAGCTGGGTGTCCCCAACGGGGGGTTCGCACCTAAAGCGTGGTGACGGAAAGAGATACTGCGCCAGACACGGAAAGAGAGCGAGAGAGACAGAGAGAGAGCGAGAGTGAGAGAGATATAGACAGACACAAATAGTTGGGAGGCAACTCCGCACCCCAGCCCTGGCGAAAGAAACGCAGACACGGAGAGACCGAGAGACAGACAGACA